GGGGAACTGAAGGAGGCAGTGGTGCGTCCGCTCTTAAAGAAAACATCATTAGATCCTTTAGATCTATCCAATTACCGCCCGGTTTTGAATCTTCCATTCCTGGGTAAGGTGGTTGAGAGAGCAGTTGCTGAACAGCTTGGTGGGTTTCTGGATGAAACATCGGCTCTGGATCCATTCCAGTCTGGCTTCCGCGCTGGTCATGGGACCGAGACGGCTCTGGTTGCCCTAACAGATGATCTTCGTAGACAGCTGGATCGAGGCGGGTCGGGGCTGCTGATTCTTCTAGATCTGTCAGCAGCTTTCGACATGGTCGATCACAAACTTCTGGACCACCGCCTTGCCGACGTGGGGATCCAGGGCACAGTCCTTCAATGGCTGCGCTCATTTCTCTCTGGTCTCTCTGGACAGAGGGTGGCTCTTGGGGGGGAATTGTCATCGCGCCACTCCTTGGTGTGTGGAGTACCTCAGGGTGCGATACTCTCCCCGATGCTTTTCAACATCTTTATGCGCCCCCTCGCCCAGCTTGTTCGGAGTTTTGGGCTGGGTTGCCATCAGTATGCCGATGACACCCAACTCTATCTGTTGATGGATGGCCATCCTGACTCGGCCCCAGACACACTGACCAGATGTTTGGAAGCTGTGGCTGGATGGTTACATGGGAGCCGGTTGAAGCTAAATCCTTCGAAGACAGAGGTCCTGTGGCTGGGACGGGGCGATATGGGATTGGGGGGGGGCAACTCCCATCTCTTGCGGGGGCGCAATTAGTGCCAGCACCGTCCGTTAAGAGTTTGGGTGTAATCTTCGACACCTCCCTTTCCATGGAGGCGCAGATTGCAGCTACAACAAAGGCGGCATTTTTCCATCTCCACCAAGCTAAGCAGTTGGCTCCTTACCTCTCTCGCCCTGACCTAGCCACTGTGATCCACGCGACGGTCACCTCCAGACTGGATTATTGTAACTCACTCTACGTGGGGCTGCCCTTGAGACTGACCCAGAAACTCCAGCGGGTGCAGAATGCTGCAGCGAGACTCCTTACGAGGTCTTCGCTGCGAGATCACATTCACCCGGTGCTATACCAGCTGCACTGGCTCCCGGTGGAGTACAGGATCAGGTTTAAGGTGCTGGTTTTAACCTTTAAAGCCCTACATGGCCTAGGACCCTCGTACCTACGGGACCGCCTCTCCTGGTATGCCCCACAGAGAAACTTACGGTCTTCAAATAAAAACATCTTGAAGGTCCCAGGCCACAGAGAAGTTAGGCTGGCCTCAACTAGAGCCAGGGCTTTTTCGGCTGTGGCTCCGATCTGGTGGAACACTCTGTCACAAGAGACCAGGGCCCTGCGGGACTTGACATCTTTCCGCAGGGCCTGCAAGACAGAGCTGTTCCACCAGGCCTTTGGCCAGGGCACAGCCTGACTCCCTCCCTCGGCAATCTTCGCTGAGCTCTGGCCCAATGGTTGCCAGTGGCTTGAATTAATTAATTTTTATAATGAATGATTTTAGAATGTTGTTTATGCTGTACTTTTGTACTGTTTTATTGTTGTTAGCCGCCCTGAGCCCGGCTTCGGCTGGGGAGGGCGGGATATAAATAAAATTTATTATTATTATTATTATTATTATTATTCTGATTTGAATATATGGGAAACAGAAATGCTTAACTTTGGCTTGAACAGGTCTATTTATCTAGATTCTAGAATGTAACATTATTAATAAATTTTGGAAAAAGTATTTTTTGGTCTGCATCCTTTAATATTTAACATCATAGTTTATTGTTATGCACACACACTGTGTCTCTTACGTAGTATCTGCCCCATTGTCCTTTCTAAATTAAAAGCCTGCTTTTGGAAACATCTGAGAATATAAATGTCTGAGTTGCAGCCCAGTATTGCATACTGTTTTTAGGCCTCCCCTGGTGAAAATAGCCAATTCTCAATTTATTTTCATATTGTCAACAGACAAAAGAGGCAGAGGAAAAGTAATTATGAAAACCATATAATTCTATTCTAAACAAATATTGGTTGCTGTCCTACCTTCAGGTGTTTAAATACTACTGTTGCACAATTTCCACCCCAATTTCTAAGCAGTGTGAGATTCCAGGGTTTTAAGGCATGTTTACCCATGGTGACTTTTGGGAATGAGACACAGCGGAGACTGTGGTGTCTTTATTATATGTGGTTGACCTAAACATATATACAGCTTAGGGTCTTGTTTCTTCCACAGACACAGCTTAGGATTCGAAAAGACACCAGCTATTATACAGTGGTACCTTGGGTTAAGTACTTGATTCGTTCCGGAGGTCTGTTCTTAACCTGAAACTGTTCTTAACCTGAAGCAACACTTTAGCTAATGGGGCCTCCTGCTGCTGCTGCTGCGCTGCCGGAGCACGATTTCTGTTCTCATCCTGAAGCAAAGTTCTTAAGCTGAAGCACTATTTCTGGGTTAGCGGAGTCTGTAACCTGAAGCGTATGTAACCTGAGGTACCACTGTATACTGACACTCTCTCCACCTTGCTGACTTTAACAGCCTGCAACCCCCCCCTCCCAGGTCACATCCAGCCAACTTTACTTCAAACTCTGCCTTTGTTTTCTCACTAACCATCTTAGAGCTCCTCTCCAGAGCTATCTTAATGGCTCATTTTTCAGGCAATTACCTCATCAGGAGACTGGCCTGATATTTTAACCCCTGCAGTATCCAGGGGTTCAGAAGGCTTGATTAAATTCCAACACCTACTAGACCCAGGAATTCAGGGTCTCTAGCACCCACAAACTCACAACACTACTTAAGTCAATAGGAGCCAGTTACTAGTTACAGGATTTGTTGCTCTGTGGGGAAAAGTTGACAATGAAAACTATTTGAAAACCGTATACATTTACAGGTACTTATTATGAACAGTTAATATCTTTCTCTGTGAATGTTTGGGAGTGGGAGCATGAGCATATGGAATTATACCAGAGTTTTGCTTCCTGAGGCACTAAGGTATGTTAAGGAATACAGTGGAACCTTGGGTTACAGATGCTTCAGGTTACAGAGGCTTCAGGTTACAGACTCTGCTAACCCAGAAATAGTACCTCGGGTTAAGAACTTTGCTTCAGGATGAGAACAGAAATCGCGCGGCGGCAGCGCAGTAAACCTTACTTTGTCTAGAAATGCAAGCTAAGGTTCTCAGGATTCTGTAAAAGTTAACATAGTTATCCACTGCACATGGCACAGTAGTTTTCTAAGTCTTCTGCATTTGCTCACTACAGTGGTACCTCGGGTTACAGACACTTCAGGTTATAGACCTGGTTTAGGGAAGTTTTTAAGATTTAATGCTGTATTGCTTTTAACATTTGATTGGAAGCAGCCCAGAGTGGCTGGGGAAACTCAGACAGATGGGCGGGGTATAAATAATAAATTATTATTATTATTATTATTATTATTATTATTATTATTATTATTATATTATACGCTTCAGGTTACAGACTCTGCTAAAGCAGGAATAGTACCTTGGGTTAAGAACTTTGCTTCAGGATGAAAACAGAAATCGTGTGGCGGCAGCGGGAAGCCCCATTAGCTAAAGTGCTACCTCAGGTAAGAACAGTTTCAGGTTAATAACGGACCTCCAGAACAAATTAAGTTCTTAACCCGAGGTACCACTGTACTGCAGATTTATAAGAACCTATTGGATATTTGTCTTGAAGGGCAAGCTGGAGAAACAGTGAAGCAAGGAGCAGGTTGGCTGACAAGTAATGAATGGAACTAAAGTATTACTGCTGGAGACAGCAGCTGTCTGGTTTCTAAGAGACGGAGTGCATTAGCTGCATGGAGGGCATGATTTCTGTAAACCTAATTTAGTTTTCTTTTATGAGAGGATGAGACCTGAGGCTGTAGAAATGTGGAGGGATTCAAGAGGAAATGAAATTTCAGGTCTGACAGGTTATGTGTGTGCGAGAATGATGAGTCAAAGAGTTTGTTGTGTCTGGAGATGAAAGATAACCTGATGATATGTACAGAGCAGAAAGTACTATTTAACTAAGGATGCTGTGTTGCCCATCATGGAGAAGGATGCCCTACTTGGACAACTCAGAAAGCTGCTTTGCTATATTGCTATCCCACAAGGACCATGCTGTTAGAAGACATTTATTATAATTTTGATGTAGTGTTTTCTTTTTAACCTATTCTATTACTTAAAAAAACCCCCTCTCTTTGTGCCATAGCATGCACTCTCTGCATCGCTACAAATCATGCCAAATCTATTAATACCCCCCACTTTTGCTTCTCTATTGCACAGCACTGTACATAGATTCCTCTGCTTAACCCCTCAGTAAACATATTGTCCCTCCCTGACCCGACACAGGTCTGAACCCCATCTCCATTAATGTAACAGGGACTGCAGTGCAAAAGGAATGTTAGAAACCAGGACATAAGTGCTAGCATTATAACCAGTAAAATGAATGCAACAAACCCCATATCTGAATGCAGCCATAGAATCATGCACTTGGAAAGGACTGCCAAGGGAATCTAGTTCAGATCCCAACAAACACAGAGGAAACTCTCTACGATCACAAAACAAAACAGATTCTCACTTAGAGGTAAAACGAAAACATTGCCATTTATTATCAGAGAATCACAGAGTTGGAAGGGACTCTGGGAATAATTTAGTCCAACTACCTGCAATGTAGGAATTTGCAGCTGTTCATTATGGGGAATCAAACCCGCAACCTTGTCAGTATCATGCTCTAGCATAACCTTGGCATTTTCTGGCTATTATTATTACAACACATAACATGCTTACTTGCAGGCAAGCTGTAAAATAAAACTTGACTTAGATACAAGATGTCATTATGTAACATTTACTGTTGGTTTAAATAGATGTTACATAAAACATTTATGGTTTTATTTTTGCTTTACGGAGATAGCTAGGTATTTGCTCTAGCTCCTTTCCCTTTACAATAACTTGAGACAAGTGCCCTTCCTAACTTCACCTTCTATTAATTAGCAGGCTTGTTAAGAGAGTTTTACCTGAAATGTTCCCTCTGGGTGAGTGTTAGGTTCCTTTCTAGCTTTACAAAGGGCCTCATCAGAAGTCTTCACTCAAGACAGCTTCCCTCTGCAGTCACTATGACCTAGAGATAGAAGAGAAATTGGATTCCATTCATATTTAAAGACAAACCAGCTTGATTCAATAGGTGAACCAGAACATAGACATCATTTGAAATTCCCACTTTTCTCAATTTCTGCAGTCAAGCAAGCTAAGGAATTTATTCAAAAGTGCTTATACAGTACTAGGGTAAGCATAAAAATGCATGCATTAGTGAAATAGCATACAAAAACCACATTTTTGGTAATATTGCTGGTTTAAAAAAAGCCTATTAGGCAAAAGTTGCATACAAAAATGCGCGTACAGTATTGTATTAGGAGAAATGCACACTAAACTGCTGATGATTTTCATTTTAAAAATGCAAACTGACGTGGAAGGATGCAGAACTGAATTTAAGATTATAAATATTATAAATACTGAAAGAAACCAAAATGCACAGATTTGCCCATCCCTACCCTGTCCTCAGCTCTTCCAAAGTCTGATGCTCAAATCACTCACTATGCTCTTGGAAGCCTTCTCAGCTCTCACCTCAAGTAATTTCAGATTCCAGGTGGGCTTCCCCAGCTGCTCCTACTTCAATCTCTCTCTTTCTCTCAGATTTTTTTTTGGCTTTCAGAGTTTGTTCTTGAGTCCTGGGCTGAAGCTGTTTACAGTACACCAAAGACTGTCCAACTAACTTACTTCAAACAGTGCCGGACCTGACCTTAAATTCCTTTCAGTCAGGACTATCAAGCCAATCCATTTGTTCCTGTTGGAATTCAAAACTTTCATTGGCCTATAATTACGGACCAATAGATTTGAATGGAATGTCCACCAAATGACCAGCCATCAGCTGTCCACATTTGGATGCTACTGCTTGGTATATATATAAAAATCAAAACACAGCATGTACTCTGCCATCTTCTTAGCAACAGGGATCAACTTTGACAGTTTAACTGTCACTTGGCCCACTGCTGGCTGACCTTGTATATTTCGGCTCTAGTCAATGTAAAATACATGTTTATTCTTCTTACAGTTAACTATTTACATTCTGATCAGCATTTAAAGTATTAAAACATTCTTACAATAAAACACTTCCCAGAATATGGTTTTTATACAGAGGAGAAAGCTGTATCTGGAAGAATGGCGGCCTTCGCAATTTGTACTACAAATATTTCAAATAAGATCCTGCCAACAGAAACAGGAACCAGAAAATATGGCCAAAGCCTGATAATTTGTAGAAAACACAAAAACGTGATTTTTAAATTGATAGAGTTCACAATTTTTAAATTGTGAGTTCTTAGGGGTGACACACCAAAAACCAGGTAAAGTTGGTCCAAAGTTGCATTTCAGTCCACCATCTTGCATCAAAATGGTACCCAGCTTCCATGAAGACCACCAGCCTTATTTTGGAAGCACTCATGCTGCATTTGGCAATGATATTTTGAGAGGTGGCCAAACCTATGCCAAAATTTGGGCAAAGTCATGCCTAAACCATGTTTTGTACTGTCATCTTGATTCAAATTACAGCCAACAGTCCAACATTGACAAAAATTCCCACTACAATTCAGGAACCCTTGTGCCAAGTTTGGTGATGATATCTCAGGATGTGGCCATCCTGTAGTTTTTAACCAGTGTCCCCTCCCTTCTCTGATGCCTTCTTGTGTCTCTGACTCCCAGTGGCTTGCACAGCTGTTTGTTGCATCAGCCCTGGCTACAAGCTCCCCAGGCGAATGGTGGCTGGGGGGTGCTTCCCAGGCCCCAGTGGGGCAGTGTGAGGAGGCACCTCTCTTTGGGGCAGCTCAGAGACCAGGGCATCAGCTGCGGCTGTCCAGAGGACTCCTCAGGAGAGAAGAGAGGAGAGGAGGCTGAGGGAACACTGTGCAAGGGGGAGTGTTCGAAAAGGGGTGAGAGGCTGCCACCTCTGCAGGCAAGGGGTGACATAACCGGGCTCCTGAGCCCCACAGGGGTGCCACAGTAAGAATGTAGTTGGTCAAGTGCCGTTGACTAGAAAAGGTTGAAAACCTCTGATGTAGAGAACAGACAGACAGACAGACAGACAGACAGACAGACAATCAAGCCACTGTTCAGAATATATAGTAGACACACACCTGCATGATGTGCCCCTAAACTTGCACAACAGAGAGTTCAGTTTATCTTCTGGGTTTCTCTGCTTTGAATCCACTCAGCATCTTTCTCTACATATTACCTTGAAAAAGCACTTCATAGCTACCTTCACTGAGCCATCCATTCTTCTTGGGTCTTTTCCATATGTTTCTGCTGAAAGCAGTTTGCCACAGTTGGCTGTTTCTCCCCCTTAGAGATATACGTTGCACTTAAATAAACATGATTATACCCTATGCGAAACTACAGTTTTCTCCAAATGGTAAAAATAAAGCAGCCAAAGTTTAAATTAGATTGTGGGTTGCCCAACAATTTAACTTCCAATTGGCTTGTGGTTCTTCTCCTTAGCAAGGAGATTTATGGCCCTTGAACTGGGGTTGGGGGAATCTTTCTAAGAAGCACTGACTCTGAAGGTCTGACTCTGACATGCCTGAAAGGGAGACGGAGCTGGATGGATCATCCCTAATACTAATCTGGGTGTGTGTGTATGTGTCAGCCAGTCAGTACATAGTGTCAGTCAGAACAATGTATTATTTGTGCAGGTAAGATAGTGGAAACATATTTAAAGATCCAATCCTATGCATACTTTTCTAGGAGTTAAGTCTGACTAAACACAGTGGGACTTGCTCCTGAGTAAGCATGCATTGGGCTGGGCCATCACAGAGCAATCTTGAAGCAGCTTGTAGGATGAAGGGAGTGGTGGAGCTACCACTGTATTCACATCCTTGCCAACTCCTCCTGTTCATGGTGGAAGGTGGTGGCATGTTTTTCTCGCTGCCCCAGCTTCAGGCTGGCACAACAGAGGAACTGTAGATGCTTTGGATCCAGGCAGGCACAGGCAACCTCAGCCCGCCAGATGTTTGGGGACTACAATTCCCATCATCCCTGACCACTAGTCCTGTTAGCTAAGGATCATGGGAGTTGCAGTCCCAAAACATCTGGTGGTGCCGAGGTTGCCTATGCCTGATCCAGGGGGTCCATGGCCAGTGAAGATCCACCCTGCCCCCTTTTAGGTGCCTTCTGCCCACTCCCACTACCAGGAACCTTTTACTCATGGACCAATGGTCTGACACAATAAAAGGCAGCTTCCTATGTTCCTAAACATTGACCCCTGTAGCCCAATATTGTCTATTGAACTCTGGCTGTCAGTGACTCTCCAGAGTCTCAAGCGGGTCTTTCACAACACCTGCCATTTGACCCTTTTAACAGGATATGCCAAGGACTGAACCAGGGATCTTCCACATGTGAAAAGCATTGCTCTACTGATAAGCTATGGTTCTTTCCTTGGAAGGATAGGCAAGCCTTCTTTTTAAATGAAGCAGCAGCAAACACAAGTAAGGCCACCCCTTTGCAAAAGCACTTGCCCTCCCTACCGATCACATGAGGATTACATTTCGCTCCCCTATAGCACTGACGATGAAAACTAGTTGTAATTTTTTTTAAAAAAACAAAAACTTAAAAAGATAATAATTTAGAGATCTCCTTGTCACATTACATATTTATGTGTGCCATTAAGATGATGAAGCATGGCTAACCCTTTGCATGCCTGCTGATATTGCTGTCAAAATTGATCCCCCTCAAGCTATTTTTTTTTTTGCTCTGAAGGGAAAAGGGAAACAGATTTATGTATAACGCACTGGTAGTCTTGTCAGGCAGCTGTGACTGATGTGTGCTCAGTCGGGAACGCTGCTTGCCTGCATCTCCATAATGTGCCACTTGCCCCACAGTAATTATTCCTTTCCCCCCCAACCCAGCCCCACTATATTCAGAAAAGATCAGCAGCATCAATTCTTGTGGATCATGCCATTCAGCCAGAATGGGGGATGCTGTGACCTGTGGCACTAATTTGGTGTCAGCTGTAGAAGTAGCTAAACAACAGGAACAGGAAATAAGTACCCAAGGCTTGCCAGCTGCCAGCCAAATTCCAACCTGCTTAAATGACTTTCTAGTCCAACTTGCTAAAAACTGTGATCTTGAGTTAAAGATAGCACATTGCAAATAACATAGGGCAAAGGTTGGTTTGAACTGAATGGACCCTTAGTTTTAGTTTACCAAACTTGGAATAGCCACATAAGTCTTGTTTATTTATGGCTTGACAGTACAAAATACTGGGCATCTACCCTAAGGTGCCAAGCACCCTCAATTTTCTAAGCACAAAGAGAGACCAGAAGACCCTTGATAGCAGGTTGCTTGTCTGTTTGGCATGCACAGTATATTTAGGGATATGCTGAAATGAGAGACTGTGGACAAAATAAGGACTTAGCATCTCTCCTTTAAACTGAACAAATGCACTACTGGCAGGCTGGATTCTGGGTTAGGCCCAAAGCCTAACCAGAATTCAGTGTCCACTAAACTTCTAGAAATTAATGTTTGTAGACCAACCTTCGTTTATGTCCCAATGCTTTCTCTACTACGTTAGTATTAGTCATGTTCCATTGATGCAAACTGGAAGTGTTAAGTGTCCAAGTGTTCCACTAATGTTGGTACACCAAAGACATGACGATGATTCTTCCTGGTGTCCAGCCTGTTATGCTTGCTTTTGATAGACCCTGCTCCATCAATGTGGGCTGCTCCATAAGTGTGAATGGGGCATTGTCCCACCAACCTCAGCCTATTCTCAACCAGACCTCCCCATCCTTTTTACTTATGCGTCCAGATGTCAGGGACTGGGCAGAAGAGGAGGGCACTGGAGGGGGGGTGATGTCAAAAAGGAGACCACCTCCCCATCCTGACCCTTCCAGGGAGACAGTGTAGATTTACAACAGTGGTTTGTGGGAGGTCACAGCTCTGCTCTGCCTCTCCCAACCGCGGCTCCTATGCCTGCTCTTGAGAGTGGCAGAGGCGGCGGCGGATGGACCAGCGGCCCCAAAAGGAGCCCTTTTGGGCTGCTCCTTCCTCCTCCTTCACCTTTGCCACTGTTGG